CTACCTTTAATTTCCACATCAACATTGCCGAATACACTAACAATAATTCCGCCAATGACTATAAAAGCCGTTGCGACCCAGTCCCACAGACCAACTTGGGTGCCAACTAGAAGCGATGAGAAAAATACGTTAAAGACGAGGCCAGAAGCGCCAAGTGGCGCCAAGAGAATGGGGGATATGAAATAGAGCGCGATCAGTGAGCCAAACAGTTGAGGAATAATATAGCAAACAAAACCTTTGTTTGAGTTGTAGAGAAAATAAAAAATAGTCAATACGCGCCACCCTGACCCAAAAAAAAAATTTTTTTGACACACAAACCAATAATCCACAGCGATGGTTCGAGACGCTGTCGTAAATTTTGAGGCACGGATTGATACTGTTGTTGTTGTTGTTGTTGCTGTTGTTGCTGGCGGCTGAGTCGATGTTGATGCAGAAGCGGGGTTTGTTCAGGCGATTCAGAAGACGATCCCTTCAGCGCATACGCTTGCAGATTCACACCGAGGGACGACATTGCGTTCATAGTCACCACGATAAACACGCCCGTGAGAAGGCGCAGTGAGTCGCCGGTCATAGTAGTCTTTTACGGGCTTTGGTGGATTTTTTTTTCTCACACACAGAAGCCGAGATTTTTCGCAAAAAAAAAGCAGTACTTATTAATGCAGCTTCTTTTTTTTTTTTTTTGTTCATTTCTCCTTCAACGCTTCTTCACCCAATAAACCCTTGTCCACAAGCAATTTCGTCAAATCTCCGCTCTGCATCATACTGACGACAATATCGCATCCGCCAACAAATTCACCTTTAACGTATACCTGCGGAATCGTCGGCCACGCGCTGTACTCTTTAATTCCGTTACGCACTTCTTCGTCCACGAGTACATTAACTGTCGAGTATTTGACACCTAAAACAATAACAGTTTATGCTGATGTCCAACAAAAGGAAAAAAAATTAATGTGCGCTCTGACCTTGCGAATTCATCACCTGCACTACCGCCCGTGAGAATCCACATTGTGGAGCTTCTTTTGTTCCTTTCATGAAAACTAGCACGTCATGGTTTTGCACAGCCTGCAAGAAAGAAAAAAAGAAAAAAAGAACTGGGTTTCAGATATGGCGAACAGCAGCTTGAGAGCGAGTTTTATGAGAAGTGGAGCACGCGCAGAACAAGTAAATTATCGAAATGGGAAACATAATAAACGATGACGTATGCGGGCCAATAATCATTTGGTGGTTTGTTGTGTATTCGAAATCATGGCGGCTGTTTTTCAAATAGATTCGTGCGTTTTTTCACCTTGTCGATTCTGGCACGGAGATCGTCAGACAAGAATCTCGCACCGATTGGAAACGACTTGACTGACACAGTTGGTCGTCGAAGGTGGGAAAATGTGTTTGCAAATCGGAACATGATCTATATTTCTGATTTTCCTTTTTCACAACCCAACAAAAAAATTATGCTTCAATAAAGATAATTCTTCAATTTTCAAAATATTTTTTCATCTATTTATATTAGATTTTGCTCAGCATCACATTTTCCTAAAATTATATTTAAACTTTTACTAAACATTCATAACCTCTATTACAAATGGAATAAAGCTGGTCTGTATTACTTCATTCACTTTAGTGAACAACAGGTTGCTTCAATTGGCTGTAATTGTTTTTGAAAAATTTAAAATAAATCAATTTGTACCAATAAGTTACTGCTGAAGCCATTTTGCCTTCATCTTAAAAATTTTTTTCAAGCCTTCGGTGAGTTGTCAACTCGTGGAAACTTGAAAATCATGCAATATACTCTTTTGGAACAAGACAAGTAATATTTTGCTCTGGAATGTGTTGGTTCATTAATGTAGCCATATCTTCAAAAACTTGAGTTGTAATGAATTTGAGTGGCTTTGAAAATGAGTTATGTTTCTCCCTAATAAATCTCCAAACCGTTCAATTAGGAATATAACTAAATAGAAAATTGATGCAAAGGTCTAACTAGCTATTCCCTCTACCAATCCAATCACTACACTCTACATAGCTATCGGGATTACAAAGGTAGCCATAATGCAAATTTAAGTTATGAAAGTAAGCCTAACTACACAATATCCACTCCACATAAATCCACTGCAAGGAATAATGGTATAATACAAACTACACCTGTTATTAATAAACCATAGCTAGTGTGCAGACTTAGCCTGGTGAGGCGTAGCCGAACCTATCCGCACGAAGTAACTCATGTAGTAAAACAATTTAGAAACATCCATGATGTTTTACTAACCAATCGCGTCATCTATTTGGCACTCCGTGCGAGATCGATCAGTGATCGATCTGTGGTAGCAATATGTAGAGATCTTTAATGGTTAGCTTTTAATTAGGTTAAGACTGTTTATGTATAACTCCATTATAAAATTTATAAGGGTTAATTGAAGAGATGATTATCAATTGTAAGACATAGAATAGCACCACTGCTACACTAAATCATAGCTACTTTGGAATTCTAAATCCAGGAAATGAATCTGCTAGCAATGGCTATTTCAGCCCGGGAATAACTCCAACTAACCCTCAATCCTAAACTCCAACACGACAGAATTTAATTACTATGATCTATATTGTCTCCTTAGAATCAACTAGGTAATTTCAACTCTGCATATAAATGCTATAACCAAACTACCTAATTTAATTACCCCGATATCCAAATACCACAAGATTTAATCAGAGTGAAAGTATTGCAAACTATTAATACAACTCACACTACAAATCTAAACCCTGATCACAATAACTATAGTTTTCAATGAATAAAGCCTTCGCTATTGCACCAATCTAAATGTGTTAATGGTGAATGATCAGTATTGCATTAATTAAGAGAGTTGGCAATACAATTGCCACTATAAGGGATTAGAATAAGTTGGAGTGCAGAGGTTATGTTAGCATTGAATTAAAGGTTAAAACTTAGTGCTGACTAATCAAAGACCTTTACTGGTTGAGTAAAGTATTACCATGATTGTAATTCCAGTAAGAGGTTAAATTCAATGGTGTTGAATAAGGGAGAGCATTTAATCCAATAGACACCATGATACAACAGCTATGCTATACAATTCCAAACATCAGATATGTTTTGGTTGGTTATTGCTTCCCCAATCAGTGATCGAAGACAACAGTCTTAATTGAATCCAGTAGAGTATACCAAACATCTATGATGTTTCCAATTGATAACCATGAATCCTTACTGCCTTAATATACAACTGTATTCACTCTGCTATACTGTTTCTCTCCATAGAAATATAATTAAAGATCTGGTAGAACCTAGGTTTGATGGCTACTCTAAGGTTATGCCAGAGGAAAGCATTACGATTTAAATATCGGATTACGATCGACGCAGGATTCAGTTTACTATTGAAACAGAGATACACAATTTAAATTCCAGCATAATTCGATTACCACAATATCTAAGCACCATCGGTATAATCGCACAGAGTGCATAAGAGATAGTGATACCTTATGACGATTGAATAGGTTACCTGGATGCTGACATTATCAATTGGAATACAGTCTACTAACAATTATGCTATTGCCGTAAGGCTTAGTGTATAATACAAACTGAACTAGGATACCATAATCCATCGCTCACAGGGAATAGCATCAACTCCACATAATTTAATTACCACAATATCCAACTACCAAATAGGAAGACAATCTATATCCAAATCAACCATAACTACCACACTAAACTACAACCACTACATAATTTAATTACCACAATCTCTACTGGCTCCTTATAATCAACTTCAATTAGGTAAACCCCCCCATTACAATAGCAACTGAAATACAATTAACACAGCAACAGAATAACACCACCATACAAATTCTATTTAATTATAACTTTAGGATTCAATCAATCACCGTTGTAATTGCCGTAGGCTAAACAAAAGGAGAATAGGGTTCTACAAAGGTGGAAACAATAAAGAGGATAGTTATAAAGTAGATAGCAGTGGAAACCATACCAAGTAGTGAGTAGGATTGAGATATGGGTTTGAGGCCTAGGAAGAGCAGGAATATGAAGTTGGATATGAATAGGAAGAATATTAATTTAGAAGAATTGGTATGGTCTGGGCGGAGGGATAGCAATACCAGAAGGCTACCTATCATAGCTATTACACCACCCTATTTGCTAGGAATTGCTCTCGAGATGGCGTAGAAGGGAAGCAGATACAATTCAGGTACTATTTCCAAAGGGGTTACTAATGGATTTGCATGAAGAAAATTATCAGGATAGGACTAGAGATTAGGTAGGAAGAGTAGAATAGAAAAAGAGATTGCAAGAATTAAGATGGTGATTAGATCTTTAGAAGTATAGTAGGGGTGGAATCTGATACGATCACTCTCACTAGGTAAGGATAATGGATTGGTAGAGGAATAATCATGTAGGGAAGTTAGATGGAGAACAACTAGTGCACAGAGGATAAATGGCAAGAGGTAATGTAAACTAAGGAATCTATTCAGTGTTGGCTAATGTACATTCCACCCTCCCCAAATCTATCCCACCTATGAATTCCCAATCCATGGTAATGCTGATACTAAGTTGGTAATTACAGTTGCTGCCCACTATGACATTTGACCTCCTGGTAATGCATACCCCTGGAATGCTGTTGCTATTGTCATGATCAGGATTACAATGCCTACATTCCACTACAACCTCCATGGTGATCAATATGATCCGTAATACTATCCCCGAGCTATGTGTAAATAGAGCCCTAGGAAATAGAATGAGGCACCATTTGAATGTATGAATCTGATCAACCAACCATTCGGAACCTCCCTGACTAAATGCTCTACACTCTCAAAAGCTGTTGCCGGTAAATAATGCATAGCCATAATCACCCCACTCTAAATCATTACTACCTAATTCTAACCTAACTATGATCCAAAATTCCACATGTAATTTATGTTGACTGGTGCTGGCTAATCTATCAAATATCCCCTAACCACTCTAACTATTGGATTTTTCTCCCTTCCATTTCTTCCTTTGTTTCTCGAAGGAAATCGAACCCTCTCCCTCAGGCCCTGAACCTGGTATGCTACCATTACACCACTAACATTCTTAAGCTTTCATCAATATCTTCTGCACTCCTTAAAGAGTAA